CTGAACTCTGTGGCTGGGCTCTGTGGCCCGGCTCTGTGTCCGGGTCTTGTCCTCCTCTTCTCCTTGTCTTGGCCGCGCCCCTGAACTCTGTGGCTGGTCTCTGTGGCCCGGCTTACTGGAGAGGAGTGTGGCCGAACAAATAGCGATGTCAATGCCGACAAAAACTCATTGATGAAACAGTTTGCTCTTGTGGGGCGCACCAAGAAATCGATTTTTGACTAGCATTGGTCTAAACGAATCGTTTTGAAGCTGTTTTGGGGTCCATGCCTGTATAATTTGTTTCAGAGCTTTCAGTTCTGCAATCAATTGTTCGAGTGAGTTCTCAAACAAAGGACAACACATTCGTCGAGGTTCGGCTGGACTCTTGAGGTCCACCCTGTCTAATCTTGGAGCAATGTCTTCCATCGGGGCCTCTTGGGTCATATTCTGGAATCCAACACCTAATGGAATTGTCGGCAGACAAACTTCGATCGTGAGATGTCTTCGATAGCCCTACGGAGCTTGTTCAGGTGTCCTTTGGACTCATGCTTCCACCACCACCGCATGCAACCGATTGCCTTCGTTGGTGACCTTGTTTGAAGTGGAGGACGAGCAGGAAGATGAGGAGTACATGGGTTTGGCACTTTTCCTGTCATTGAGTGAGTGTGGTTTTTTCGCCCCTTGACTTCGCTTTTTAGCAACTTGTGTTTTCGTCACCTTGGGTGAGCCAAAAAAAGGTGAGGTTGATAGGATCCCGGCAGTAGTGGGTTTCCATCCACTTTTCCATTTGAGGGGTGCCTCGGGTCTCCCCATTTGTGAGAGTGGGTTCTTGGCCAGGTTTGGGATACTTGCATCACTGTGGGCATAGTGCAGAAATTTTTGTACTTTACAGCAGCCATGGCCGGAACAGTCGGCTTTCAATCTGGAGCCCTGAATTTCCAGAATTGATCCACTTTCTGAGCCAATTCAGGCACTCAACCTGTTTGGGGTGCACTATATCCCGACCTCGAAAGTTTTCTGCGGCTTTATTTTCCAGGCAAAGCCGATTTTTCACAGTGGGGGTGGCTGGTGCCGAACTGCAGCAAATTGTAGGTGAGGGAGCAATGTATTTTGTAGACGGGCAACGCAAAGAAGCCACCACATCCCTGTGCATTGAAATAGATGTCTGCAATTGCTTCAAGATGATTCACGGTTTAGCCATGTACAGGCAAATTCGAAGGATAATATGCTTATGTTTCAAATCATCGAACAGCAAATTCGAAGGATGTACACTCCCAGAAATCATGAACGTGGGCAATGGGCCCTCACGTGACAATTTTCCTCCACAAACAGGTGGTTTTCCACTTCCATGCCCGGAGTGAACATTTTGCATGACATCTTGCTGGAAGATGCTTCGTGGACCAGCGGCTACTCATTGATACTTGGATGGCGAGGTGTTTTTGCTTGGGGAACCTGGTGTTTGTCATAGAGCAAGTTCAGGACTCCGAGGTACCCTCCACAAACTACCCTTTTTGAAGTTCCTCTTTTCACCTCTGGCTGTTTCCAGTGCAGCGGTGCTGGTTTCGTTCCGAAGGGCACGAGCTGGGCGCCAACATGTCATCCGACCCGATTTGTCCACACCTTTCGAGAGAGGCTTGGTGGTGTGGTGAGATGTCGAGACATTCGGCCTTTTGGGGCCACAAGAGTGACTTCTGAGTGCAGCGAGTTGGGGTCGCGGAGCCAGTTCTGTAAGGGGACAAGCTCTGGGCCTATCCGGCCCAAATCGTGCCAATCTTTCTTCGGCCTTGCCTCCGCGAAGGCTTGGTAGCTCTTTTTGAAGACTTGCTTTGTCGATCACCGTCGGCGCGGTACGCCCTATGCGCGTCTTGAACGCCTGCTCATCTGCATTTGAGACCATGTGCCCCCCCCGCACTGATTGGTGACCATGTGTTGTTGTTTCTGTTTCGGGTGTTGGTTCGATTGCAGAGCTTGAAAGGGTTTCAGTCAACTTTTGTGGACCCTAGCATGTAACAGCATGTAGCATGTACAATCATGTCAAACACGGTTCACCAAGGACATTCCACATGTTATATCCCAACCGTGACTTTATGGCTCAAGAAAACAAGTGCTTTGGCTTCATTCACTTGTTTTCAGGAAAGGTTCACACTCACCAACCACTTGCCCGCAGCACGGGACCAAGTGTTCTGACACCCTCCTTGCTGTGCCTTTGTTGGAGCGCGTCCGTTTTTTGACATTCATAGTAAGGTCGTTCGGAGCCAAGATCGGCCTTTGGCCCGGAGGCAGGTGAGGAGGCAGGTCTTTTGCAAGCCGCCCCTTCAATGGGGCAAGATTCGCTCCCTGCCACTTGTGCATTGTTCGTCTCATCTGGTCCAACCGTGGCGCCTCCACCCGCATTGGCAGGCGCTGGCGTTGTGGAGTTGGAGGAGGAGATCATCGACAAGCCCAAGTTTCCCGACCCGTTCACTTGTCCAAAGACTCCAAGCCCACAGGACGGAACTGCTGCTTCGCACGGGGATTCCCGCAGGAATCCCCAAGGAAGAACACCGTGAACTTAGTTCAGATCCACCCCAACAGCACGAGCAAGTTGCTCCTGAGTACTGTCTTCTGCCCCGCCACCAGTCAGGTCTTTCGAGCGTACAGACGCACTTGCACCCCTCCAGCCGGACACCGCCCAGGACAGCACCTTTTTCCACGAGATTAAGCAATGGACACCTCGCTGGCCACACTTGGCGCCTTCCTTTCACAAAGCGACGACCGGGCATTTTGTCGGATGCCCAGCTCGAGGCATGTGCGGCCACCTTACCCGAGTTTTTGGGCATGGACACATGCACTGGCCATTCACCCCGTTGAGGGATGTGCAGTCCCAGCGCAGCATCGTCCTCCGAGTGCTCGTCGGCCTGGCGACCCCGACCAAAGGCAAAAGGCCTCAGGAACTCTCGGCAATAGACCGCCCAAGCCTCCCAGTCCCTACTAGGCCCTGCCCCAAGCCGGAACCTAGCAGGCTCCGCGGACCAAGCAACTTCCAGCGCTGACAGCCTCATCGTCCTGTCAGGTCTTCCTTGAGCCGGAACCCGACAGCCCCGCAAGAATTCGTACACCGCCACCTCCACATGACCAACCTAGCGAGTGTTTCAATGATATTTTGATCGAACACATCGATGCCAATGAATAAGCGGCCCGCCGTCCAAAAGGGAGCGCGCTTCTTCGTTAAAGACGTCGGAGACCGCTGCTTGGCGTGGGGAGTGCGGAGGAGTCAACTTCTATGGACGCCTAGCATGTACCGGCCTGACCCACCAACTTTGGTGCTGACGGCCACCCTTCTTAGAGTTTGGTGGTTGTACGGTGCACTGATAACGGCACCGTTCTCTTCATTGCTTCACAGCAATATATCTGGAGATAAATTGATTCCTGCAAAGCTGGTCTTGCCCGGTCCACTATGAAAGGAAATGATGCTATTCTGTGTTTTGCTCCATGCACAAGGTGGCCAGATGAAGCAAAGAGCATGGTTAGGCATTTTAATACTCCGACAGCTGACCGGTGTTTTTTGGTTCAAGCTCTTGATAAAGGCTTGCCCAGACAGCGGTGCAAACTTTTCCTCTTCGGAAATTTCGACCCACCAAATCAAGAAACCAGAAAGTTTGCACCAGCGCCGAAAGACTTCCGTGTGAACGTCGCAGAAAAGCTGAATGGTGGCCAAAGAGTCGATGTTCGGGTGTGACGACGGGGGGCGACATGACCATCCACAGAGCCAGGGGTTTCCAAACCCACATGACCCATCGTGGAGTAAGTCTTTGAAGGAAAAACTAGGCCAGAGTGAGGCGCTGAAACGCAACTGAATTTTTTTGCTTAATTTTTCGTGTGTGGCCTGTGTCCAAGGCACTTGTTCTACTCATTCGATCGGCTTTGGAAGGAATTGGTTGCGGCAGTTCTCACACATATTAATGTTGGTTTGCACATGAACGCACGCCGTTGACCATGAGGGCATGTCGAAAACCACTTCCGGGGGTCCATCGGACCGAGGTGGACAATAGAATGAACCTGTTTGCGTTGGGTAGGTTTCCCGACTGCCTTTGTCAATTGACACATAGGTGGTTTTTAACAATCATATAGTTTGTTCATTACTAAGCAGTATGCCCCCAAGTGTACAACGAATACTGTAAGTTTATGGTACCAAACTGACAATACTTGCACAAGGATATTATTACTATTGTTTTCAAAACTGTTTGGATTTTCCATGGCCACAAACCATATCACCTTCGGCACTCCCTACTCTCGTGGTCTGATGTGAAAGAGCTCGTTTTTGCTCCCTCGAGCCGCATGGTGTGAAGGTTTGTGACGGAGGATGGTTGGCCATTAATGGATGCGGAACAGGCCCCGTGGTGGTTCGGGATGTGGCTGGTTCGGCAAGCTGTCAAAACTCATCAGTTCCTCTCACTTCGCAAATTTTCGCACTGAAGTGCTCCATGTGAGAAGCGGACCTTTTTCCCATTGATATGTCAGCCACTCTTGGAACTTCAATTTCATGGAGCGTGGACCTCACGGTGGCACAGTGGCCCCTCCAATGAACAATACGTACAAAGTAGACACGAATTCATGCACATGTTCCATTTGGATTCACTGCCGTGCTGGTCATGGTTCCTAGCAAGTGACCTCTCAACGACCTGGAAAAACTTATCCAAAGCGAGGTTTCGCTGTTTAGAGGAACCCAACGGAGCACATGGTCCTGCTTTGGACGCGCAAAGCAAATGGTGAGGGACCACCACCAAACCACATGACGCACTGCACTTGGTGGTCTCAGCGGCCACACTGCCAGATACCAGCCACCATTGGTATGCGAATACGCTGCTGGATGTTCGGCCTCCCCAGATGAGTGGAAAAGGTGTGGGGAGGGACCTGGTGGGATTGTTGGTAAATACCCTGTACAAAACCATATTGCCACAAAACTAGCAAATCTACTTGGTGAGGGAGCAGGGCAGACGAACCTGGCATGCGAACAAATGTGATTTCAGCGCTCTCGACCAACCTGATGAGGGTTCCTTGTGGTTTGATCTTCCCAACAAACCAGCAAGATGAGTGTAGAAGATAAGATTGACGCTCTTTGGATCAGGGTTTTCTCCAAGTTGAACAGGGTTTCCCCAGCCTCAGGGACAATCGCACGGGCCGCATTGCGTACATTCACAATGACTGGTCGCAGCCTGAGAAGACCCGAATTTCGATTTCCGCACCTCGCAGATGGCCGGCAGGCACTCCACGCCCGGAATTCGGGAGCATTATTTTTGACCGTGAAGAAGAGGTTTTGCCAGGTTTTGTCTACATTCCCTTCATTGCAAGGTCAAAGTGAAGTTATTCTTTTATCAATTTTCAAGACCAGTGCAATACTCCCCCCAAGTCACTCCTTTGTCCCGCCGGCGCTGGTGCTACATACCTGGCTTTGATCAAATTGACATCAAAAATCTCGACCCCTCTGTAGCCTCAGCTGCAACCTCGCAGGGTGCAGATCCTGTGTGCTGTAAAGACTTTCTTTTTCGCTGATGATATCAGAAGATCGTCATGGTTCCGACCCGTGAGAGGGGATTCACTTCTCCTCGGGTTTTGGTATAACTTTATTTCGAAAGCAAAGACCAACCTCAGGCCACAGCGGATTTGGGTCGAGTTCGATGATGGAGAGGAGAATGAGAAGGATGTCACCTGGTTCGTGAGCAGGGGCCCTCGGAGCTTCGTAGCCGGAGTCGGGCCGTGATTTCACCGGCACTTCCAGGACAATCTGTCGGATTTGAGCCGTGCCAAGCTGGGCCAAGCCAGGGCCCAGCTGTTCCAATCCCCCCCGGCCGAGGAACTTCTCTCGTGCAAGCTGAAACACCCGACCCGGGACGTGGTGCTTTCTGATCCGCCTTGCGAAGCACCCCAGAGCACCCAGCTCTTGGGCTCTTCGGCCGAGGCGAAAAGGGTGGCAATCCGGTGGGCCCTGGATTGACCGAGAAGGAGTGGAGGCATCGACTGGGAAAAGCCGCACCGGCACGGGAGCAAGGGGGCACCCTCCTCCCTGCCCGACAGAGATCTGTGTGGACAAGATTTGTAGTCGCTCTCCGGAATACCAGA